ATGTTTCCGGATTTTAAGTTCGACGCAACCCTTCGAATACGAGGCCATGCTCGTCGTATCGAAAATTGCCAAGTTTGACGAAATGCACGGACTTGGTAAAATTTTTTTCGGAGATGCCATTTGCGGTCGAACGAAGATCGATCCTTCCCCCGTAATTTAAACAAAAATAAATGCTGCTGCGATTTCTTTTCGCGAAGTTATGACGCTTCAAAGTAACCCTTGCATTTTTGTCACGGCTTCGCATTCGAAGGGTTACAGTGGCGAGGCTGTGTCGGACTTAAAATCCAGGAACACGATCTCAAAGTAGAAGTTTCAAGCTTTCATTTGAAAGAGAATTCATCGTCCCGAGATGATTATGCGCGGGGTTATCGTCGGTGAAAGTTGCCCAATTTTTCAGCGCTATCATTTTTCGCAGCGGCGCATTCGTCGGCGTAAGAGCCGTTTATTTAGATGAATGATGGCGCAGAGGGGAGTCAATCGGCCAGAAAAATTCGCCGAAAAGCCGCGCACTTGGAAGCGACCGCGCCGGATCCCCCGGTCTAATAGCGAGGGAAAATAACGCGGAGGGTGTCGGAGGGGGTTGCAGATGTTCGCGGAGGTGTTAACCGTCGGGACACGGGCCGTGTAAATGGCTCGGCCTACATAATTCCGTGGACGATGCCTGGTAATCTCTCCGCGACCGAGAGACACCGGAATCGACGGTAGAAAATGGAGGGCGGGTCTCGTCTGCCGGTACGGCGAACAAAAGGGCGGCCTCGAGGTGGCCCGCGGGTTGGCAGAAAGAGAGAGAGAGAGAGAGAGAGAGAGAGAGAGAGAGGGAGAGAGAGAGAGAAAGAATCGGAACAAAACGGGGAACGCCGATGGAAAAAGTAAAATGCTAGATGAAACGCGACGGCGACGCTGCGAAAAGAGACAGCCTGCACACGGGGTGTCCTTTTTAGCAAAAATAAATAACGGCCGAAAACAAACGGGGCGAAGTTTCGCCGGGACGGAGCTGGAATTTTTTTTCGAAAACAGCAATTTCCACTTCGAAAACAGTCGATGAAGTTTTTCAGTGACCGGACGGCCGTTGGTCGGTCGAAAAAACTGCTAAAGCGAACGCTGAAAATTTATTGTATTCGTGCGACGGTTATATCAAATTTCTTTCTCTCTGTTTCCCCTTCTGTAACAAAGAGTTCAGAACTGAACTTCGCATAACCTTCACACATCGATAAATATAAATAATTACTATTATTAATATTATTATTATCACAACGAATAAGTGCAATTTAAAATTGTGGACGAGCGCAGGGTGAACGCGAACCGGCTTAATCCCGAGCGGATTTGTAACGCAGTGACGCGGAACCTGGTCGAAGCTGGTCGAACGGAGCGAAGCGAACGGGCCGTTTATATTCGTATCTTCTCGGACGTGATCCCGGCAGAAAAGGAACACCGTGGGACGCGGCCGCATAATATCTGGAACACCGGGTACTGTTTGCCGTGTGTACGACCGCGAACCGCGCACACGTCCCGGCGTTACAATGCCGCGGGTGGAAGCGAAGCACTCGTACAACCGATCGCGTGTCTGGCTTGTACCCCAATCGGGCTCATTGTCCTGCGACAAGAGTGGCGAGGGTACAAAGGCCCGTTGCCGGCGCGAGTTCTCGGTGGGCTGCTCTTGCGGGTGGGGCTCGGTGATATCCCCCCGTGCCGGTCTCGTTGCATCGCGTAACACCGCGATTCCGTTCCGTCCACGTTTCGGCTCGATGCCGGCCGGACAATCCACCGTAAATAGGGGAACACGGCGCGTGTACATACGCGAAACCCCCGATGTTACGTGACGATCTCCGCGTCCCCAGGACCCCGGAAATCATCGGCCGGGATTCGATGACACCGGCAGAGATTGAAATTGTCTCGAGCCAACACGATTACCGGAGCTACATGCGCCCGGGACGCATGCGGATCACTGCCGGCTGATAGCTCAGCTGCCGGCCGATCCACCCCGATGACCGCGCGGCACGATCTGACCGGGAATTTTGCCGGGCAACGCGATCGTGATCCGTCCGATTGCCGGTGTCCTGTTGGCTCGGCTCCTCATTTGTTTGCCGACGGTCTTTTACAACGTGAGATAATTCGAGTCGATCGCACGGCGGCGAAGCCACGCCTACTTAGGACGACAGGGAGGAAACAACGACGAGGCCACGCCTGCTTGGGACGCTGGATACGAAAAGGCAACGAATCCACGTGTACTTTGAAGTTAAAGAGCCGTGACGCCACGCCTGCTCGGGACGCTGGAAGCGAAAAAGCAACGAGTACACGCGCTGCTTAGAACGCCAGAAATTAAAGAGCCGCGTAGCCACGCCTGCTTGGGACGCTGGATATGAAAAGGCAACGAATCCACGTGTACTTAGGAATTAAAGAGCCGCGACGCCGCGCCTGCTTGGGACGCTGGAAGCGAAAAAGCAACGAGTACGCGCGCTGCTTAGAACGCCAGAAATTGAAGATCCGCGAAGCCACGCCTACTTCAGGCGCTGGAAATGAGAACTCAACGAAGATGGACACTCTAAATTGCAAGAAGCAACGAAGCGACGCCTTACCCAGTGCTCTCGATACCAACGGAAGCAAGAGCACTCGTGCCCGAGAGGCTCTAGAATCGAAGAGCAGCGTGGCCACGCCCACCAAGGCATCGCATCCGATAAAAGCAACGAGGCCACGCCTACTCGAGGCAGTCTACAGGCGACGAAGGCAAGGAAGCTACGACAATTGGCGACTATCTCCGCGAAGAGATTAGAGTACACGGCCCTCCATCGAATTCGTGAGGCACAAAGTCTCTTACCGGAGCGTCATTAGCCCCGCGCGATAGCCCCCAGGGGCACTTAAGCCCGGTGTCCGGGGCAAAGAGCGTTCGCAGACTGCTCTACATAAATGTTTTAGAGTTTACCGTGGTCGTAACGTCGAACGGGAGAGACAGGAGCTTGTTTCGGAGCCGGGCTAAGAGCAGGATCATCGAGTCCGTCCACGGATTCGACTTGGACTATTTACGATCCTCTTGGCTCGTTAACGAACAAGACATCGGGTACCATGAAACGCCTGCAGCGGAGCGGCGTGGGACCCGGCCGTGGGGATGGAAGGTCGTCGCTTTCGGTTACTTCGTCCCGTCGGAACTTTCTCGTTAACGAAGTTTGGAAATAGTGTCGCCGTCTTCGTCGTCTCGTAGACCTCGTCGTTCTCGTCGCGACGACGACGTCTGCGACGCGTTGGCGGTGCGGCAAGTGGTATCGAGAAAACTTCGCAGCCAAGTACGCCGGTTTAGCCGAGAGTATCGGTTGTGTCTGGAAAAGGAGAGAAAGAGAGAGAGAGAGAGTTAGAGAGAGAGAGAGAGAAAGAGTGAGAGAAAGAGAGAGAGAGGCCGCCGAGGGAAATCGCAGAAATTAGGCTCGGAGAATCGGAAAACGATCGATCCGCAGTCGTTCCACGACTCTCCCTCTGTCTCCCCCGGCCGTGCCACCCCCGGGCAAGGCTTGCCGGGAACGTAGCAGCCGTCGTAAAACATGACAAATGCCCAGCTCGCGTAAACAGGGTCCCTCGTAAACGGCGCACGTTTCGCATTCACCGAAACTCTGAATACTGCGAACTTTACCCTAATTCGATCGAATAATTTATCTATCCCCGATCTATATGCGAAACTTCGTTCGTTCGTTCGCAGCAGGTTTCGTTCTCCCCGGTGGTGGTGGCCCGGTAAAATCGCTGCTAAGAAAATCCCGCGCGATTCCGAATCCGCTCGGCGGATCGTTCCACGGCGTTTAGGAGCGGCCCCGGTCTTCAATCCCGATAACAACGGATCTGTTTCTCGCGAATAGAATTTGTCGGTGATCCCGGCGTAACGTTTAACGTCGGGATCGGACGGCGGCCGTGACTGAAACGTTAGCCGGGGCTCGCTCGTAAAACCGTCCGGGGAGCGTCGTGAAACGCGAGACCGCGCGCGCCGCGTCCGACTTTATAGTCTATTTGTTGCTCGACTAACCGGCAAATCTCTCCGCGGTTGTGTCTCCACCGGGAGGGAAAGGATACCGTTCCTACGGCGTTACCGTTACCCGCCGTGAACGGAAATCCGCTCTGAATTCCGATCGACGGCCGATACCGCCGCGATAACAACGATCCCACGGGCGCGTAAAAGCCCGGGCGAAACCGTCGTCCCCGATGCGGCCGGTGTTTTATGCCGGTAATTATCTGTCCCGATCGCGTCCGCCGATGCATTATCGAAGTTCTAACGAGTCTACGTCCGAGCCAGGGCCGCCCATCGGGCTCCCGGCTGCTCCATTATTGATACTAAGCGAGAACGATCCGGTTCGCCGATCGGCGAATATCGGACGAGTCCCTTGTCGGTATGCTCGGCTCGACCGCGACGATTCTATTAAATGCCGACGACGAATTCCGTCGATCGACCGGTTGATGTTTAGTTTAGAAGGAGGTGCCGAGATGGGGGAATACTTTGGCGGGATGAGCAGGATTTAGAGATTCTATTTCATTCTATTTGATATATAGTTTCTTCGAACGAGTTCTTATCCCAGTGAAATCCTACTGGGATAAATTTTTATTTAGATAAAACTCTGCTCTTTATTCAGGGTGGACCAAAGTTATGGTACTTGCGGGAAATATGGGGTTCCTGAGATCATTCGAGGTAAATTTTTCCTTGGCGATAATGCAATCCGCGGCTTCGTTTACGAATTGTTAACGAGAAACAGTGGCTAATGAGAGGCGAGCGGCAGTTTTGCTAAGGAAAAAGTTACGTCGAATGACCTCGGGTACCCCTTATTTCTCGGAAACATAATTTTAGAACACCTTGTATTATTTAGCTATACCGGATGAAATTATTGACAACTTAGCCGACGAAAACTGAGCAAAACTAAGAGAAAGAAAGCCGAAAGATGTTGAATCGCTTTGACATAGTCTTGACAAATAAACGTTTCCAAAACCGTGAAACCGTGAGAGACTAATTCGACACTGTGCTTTACTTTCAGTATAACATAAAGAAACGGGAAGAGGTGCAGGAAGCGACCCAGGAGGAGCCTAACCCGCTGATGCGTAAGAAAAAGACGCCAGAGGAGTTGGCCGCGGAAGCCGAAGCGGAGGACGAGGACGACATCACCAGTACGTATCTATCATCCGGCTCATCGTCGAATTCTCGATTACCGTTTCCCAGAAACCGGCCGGAGGCTTATAAATATAGAGGATAATTATGAGTCGATAAATACTTTGGTGTCGAAACGAAGCACTTCGACAATGATACGGTTGGGAGATCCTGAAACAAGGTTAGCAGGCCTGCAAACTCACGGGCGTACCCTGAGAGAGTAGCTGTCTGACGAATTAATGCAGCGGCAGGGGGTGATCGATGAAGGGTTAACGAGCCGTGGCTAGAAATCAAACATTCCTGCCGCCCCCTTGCCTCGGATAACGGCGAATCTGACGTATGTCGTGCTCCGTGCCAGCGGCTCCATCATTTTTCGGTTGTTCCCTCCGAGGACCTAAAAAATATTTTCAATTTTAGCGCATTCTTCTCCTGGCGACGCATTCATCTTTCATTTTCACAAACGTTTTCCATCGAATCGATGAACACCGTTCAATGATTTTTCATTAACTGTATTCTAAACGGTAATTGTGTAGAGTGATTTCTCCTTTTTAATTTATACAAATATTTTCTATAAAATTGTGAAAAATACTGATTCACAGTTTAGAGATTCCGCGAAATTCTGTATCGCGATCCAGCATTTTTCAACCCTGATCTGGTCGGAAGGTTGCAGTACATGTATCTCTAGAGTTCGAAGGTCGATTACTCGATGTAATAATAAGTTGACTACGAGTTTTGGCGTGAAAATTGTCTAAATTGTCAATTTGTCAAAATTCACTACATTAAGAGCAAGGGACAAGAGTTAAATATAAATATGTGTTTTCGCTAAATAAATTCAGTAAGTTGAATATAGTATGACAGTCGCTGCAGGTGCACAGATATTCAATTTTAAAGATGCGGAAAGATTGCAATCTAGAAGATCATGCTGCACCCTGACCCAGACCCGACCAATTAGCAAGTCGACTGCCACATCGCAACCTAAAAACTTCGCACAACTTCGAAGCAATTGGGCTACGAAATCTGAAGCTGTAAAATTTACGGATTCATTTTCAAATCGATAATTACAGATTTATCTCTAAATCGATAATTACAGATTTATTTCTAAATCGATAATAACAGATTTATTTCCAAATCAATAATTACAGAGATTTATTTCACAGTTACAGTAATGCCTCCCCAACTGACGCTCAGATTGTGCACAAAGACGGACAATTTGGAAAGAGGAAATACGATTATTTATGTTTTGCTTCTCGTTGTTACAGTTGTTGACAATTCGTAAGTATAAAAACGAACCGCAAGGCTCGAATAATCGTGTCCCCTCTTCCCAAAACGTCCACTTTCGTGGAAAATCCGAGCGTCAATTAGAGAAACATTACTATACATTCCACGGTTTATCATCAGAAACAATATCAGACTAATTGTCAACTGCAATTCGATGAAACAGAATATCCCGAACATTCCGAAATTCTTTACGGTTGTCGGCGTGGGCGGTCGAGCTGTTAAGGGAATTTGAAACGGTGCAGCGAACCGAAACGATGGTTCGCGGACGACCGATCAAGACTAACGCGACGCGGCGGCGTTCCGCCTGTCTGTTCCAGGAATCAAGAACGCGTTCGACACGCATATACAAGACATCAAGGCGCAAGTACTGGAAGGTAAATGCGAGCTCCAATAAGCCTACCTGCACCCGTGAGCAGTGGCGGCGCCGATGTGCCGCCAGGGCCGCATCCGCCTCACAGCCCCAACGACACCACGCGGAAGGGAACGGGTCAGATCCGACGTGTCGAGTAAGAAACCGAAGGGAAACAACGATATCGAGCCACCGAGAAAGAAGAAGCCGCCAGCGTCACCGTCCTCGTCTTCTTCGTCGTAGTCCGATCGCGCCGATCGATTCGAGATTCCGATTGGGCCGGTCGCCTATAGCTCCGGAGGAGAATCGGTGAACAGCCAGCCGGCCGGCCGGCCGGGCCAGCTAGAGAAGCGCAAAGGGAGCAAAGTAAGCTGGCAAACGGCACTCGAGACGCACCGACGATACAACACAATACCAACGATCGCGTCGAGGGTTTTCCACGGTGCGTCGAGCACGATCTCGGGGGACTCGACGAGCGTCGACATCCTCGAGTCGATATCGGCGGCTGCACGATTTTTCCAGACCACCCTCTTCGACCCCTTTTCGTCGATATCGATGTCTCGAGTGAGACGAATCGGGCGGGTTGATCGTTCCGACGATTCGGGGCTACAAGCTGCAACAGAAAAGAGAGAGAGAGGTATTAGAAACTGTGCGAAGAGGTTCGAGAAGGTTCAAGGGAAAGAGGGAAGGTGAGATCGGTGGAGATCGATATAGCGTCCAAAGTCCAAATTTATCCGATCCATCGTGATCGCGGAAAGAAGATTAAGGAAGACCGATCGGCGAAGCAAAGGAAAAAGTTACCAGAGCATAGAGGTCCAGAGTTCAAATTTCTTCCGATCGGTCGACGATGATCGGCGGACCTTGACAGCGATCGGGGGACAGGAAACGATTCGAACCACGTGGCTCCGGTCCCGAGTGTCCTCCGTCGATGCGGAAGATCCTGGAACCGGTTTATAACGAGCTGGAAATCATTCGGCGAACAATCGAAGGAGCGGATGAAAATTGGAAACGATGAAGACAGCGATGTGAAATAATTCAGCGGACGCTTGGAGGGAGAGAAGCGGAACAACCCATTGGTCCCGTTGAAGAAGCGAAACGATTCAGCGGAGAAGAGGAAGCTGGTTTGACGATGAAGGCGCGAGGCTGAAGAAGAAGGTCCTCGTGGAACAATTTGGATACTCGGAGGACAGTTTCGCCGATAAAATTAGGGTCGAAGCAGATGGATTCTGGACACCGTGAAACAGTTTGGTGGACGCTTGGAGAAGAAGTACAACGAATTGGACTTGGAGAAGGCACTTCTGAAGTAATTTAACGGAGAAGTCGAAGCAGCTGGGTATAGAAGCGAGTCCGAAGAAGAGGGTTCCGATGAAATAATTTGGATGCTTGGGTTCGAGGACGAACACGGGGATGAAGAAAAGGGATTTTGGACGCTGTGCAGAGGATGATGAGGAGGACGAGGGAAACGTAGTGGACGAGGAAGGTAGAGACGAAGAGGGACACGAAGAAGAGGGGTGTTTTCTGTGACAATGGGATTGGTCTCGATCGGCGTGAACAGGGGAAGACGCGCGAGCGACGCGAGTGGAAGTTTGCGGGAGGGACACGGGGGAGCCGGGGGCGATTCATTCCGGAGAACGATGACGGAACGATGACGGAACGATGACGAGGAGAACTGCAGGCAGACGCGGAATAGTCGTCCGCGCCTTACGATTCGGAGCTGGAAGAGGAACGCGATCCGACGGAAGAGGAGAGACCGTCGCAGAGAGATCGTCACCTCGAGCGATCTCTTCGTCGGACGACGACGCGATCGTCGGCCGAAGACACCGCGAGGATCGAGTGGATCGGGAAAAGGATCGTCGCGAGCGTGGCTGCGGATCGGTTCGAGTATCTCTTCGTGTGAGATCGTAAGAAGATCGCGGCGCGGGCGAGACACGTGAGCGGTCGAAGGGCGCGTGCATATAAATATACTTATACATATAAATATAAATAAAGAAAAGTATAAATATATAAATAAATAAATATATATATATACATACATACGAGTAAGAGAAACAAACCAAAACAAAAAAAAATGAAACAAGTAACGAGCAAAAAATAGAAAAAAAACAAGACGCAAAAAAAAAGCCACACACACCTAGCACCTAAGTTTCTAGCGAATTTTTCGAATAGCGTTAAATTAAATGGGAAAACGGCAAAAAAAGTGACAAAATACCTTTTACCGGTAGCAGAGTTACGTAGTGGCTAGTTCGTTCGACGGCTGTTCAAAAAAACGGGAAAATTACCGAAACTTTGAAAAAACGAAAAAACGTAAAAAAACATAAACGAGTAATAAGAACAAAAAAAAGATGATAACGGAGATCCGAACGGAGGGAGAGTTCATTGTGTGTGTTATTTATTATTAAAACTAATTGTCGGTTGGATTGATTGCGAGAAACCAGTTACGAATTATTATTAATTCATAGTTTTACTGTACACGCCCGCGGTCATTGTTCTTATCGATTGTTAACTACCATTGGACGTTTGTATTTAGAGAGAAGAGAACGCGAAAGACGCGAGAAAAAGAAAACAAATTAATATTATTATTATTACTATGATTATTATTATAAAACGGAGATGATGTGAAACAGAGGGCGAAGAAGATGACGGAGACGACGGAGGAGAGAGACGAAGAACGAAAACGAAGCCAAGCCGGGGCGAGGATCGAGGGCCACGAGAAACTCGACAGATCGGCCGCCAACAACTGCGGGAGACCGTACTGCCCAGAGAGAAAACACGCCGCGAACATACTCGAACCTACACAAACGTATACAAACCTACTCAAACGTACACAAACGTACTCGAACGTACTCAAACAAATACAAACGTAATCGAACGTACACAAACGTACATACACGTACATAAACGTACATAAACGTACTCGGAACATGCACAAACGCATACTCAAACATACTCAAACATGCCGAGACCAACTCACACATCCACGACACTCGCAAAATAACACGTGCACAAGCACTCGGAACACGTTCGGGCATTCGGCAATACGAGTGAACGTTCGCAAAGGTATCGGAACATTGTTGAAACACACGCGAACACGGACCGGAGGCACCAGACCCTCTCGAACGAGAGCGACACCGGCGGCCCTTGCTCTACCTTCCGTCCGAAAATCGATTTCCTCCGAGATCCGCAATCGATTGGCACAGGCAGACAAGTAACACCTATTCTTGGCGGCAGTTTCCGTTCTATCGGATCACGCGAATAGTCGAACAATGAGAGAAACCGGGAGCTAGAAAGCAGAAAGAGAGAGAGGTAGAGAGATAGAGAGAGAGAGAGAAAGAGAGAAAGAGAGAGAGAGAGAGAGAGAAATAAAATTAGAAAAAGATGGAACGATACACGACTACCTTGTTCAAAGAGTAGAGAGCTCGACGTCTAGGCCGAGCAGCACTGACGAGGCAACACACAGTGTAGCAAACGAAAAATACAAAGAAATATGCCTTTCTTTCACGTTTATACGGTGCGTTTCTATCGAGTGTAAATTGTACATGTAGGTTAATCGTTTTAGCGTCGAATACGACGGCGAAGTGTCCGAGGAGGAGGCGGAGGAGGAGGAGGAGGGAATAAGAAAGACGGCGAGGAGATTCAGGGGTGGATCAAATAAATGTGTTCTATCGTGGATGTTTCTCGGGAGGAACGCGGGGGTCGAGTCTGGCGGAGACGGGTTCTCTCCGAGGTGTTGCTTCGATCGATTCTACCCCGGATCGCGATGGTCACGGTCGCACCGGTGTTCGATCGAACAGATCCGGACGGGACGGGCAGAGCATCGACTGCCGGCGAGATCAAACGCGAGCCTTATACATATACGGACGTAGGAAAGGAAAAACCTGGGCGGCGGATACATATAGAGAAACTCCTCTCTGTTTGCCGAATACGATGGCGCGGATGGAAGAAATGAATACGATACCGGACACGTTCAGCATCCGTTCAGCAGCTTTCCCATCGAAGCGACGATGATTTTCGTTCAGGACATAAACCAACAGACACCAACCAGTTTCTTGCTCCTTCGATCCGGATACGGTCTTCGCGTCGAAGAGACTGAGCATATTATTACCCTTCTGGAATCAATAAGGTTATACGTTATCGAAAGCTATATTTATATATATAGATTATATATATATATGTATATACACATATGAAATTTCAGTTGAGTTGGTATATGTATAGGGATACGTATTTACGCTGATAATAGGGAGAATTGAGAAACGTTTTTTGTACGAACAAAAAGGGAAGATCGAATACGAAAGTGTACTTCTTTATGTTCGACGTTACTATCGTTCCGAAGACGCTTATGTCTGTTCTTGCTTCTTGTTCACTGTTCAAAACTCTCTTTCTATATCTGTACGTCTGTCTTTCTGTCTTTCTGCTGTTTATTAGCGCCTCTCTCATTCTCTTTCTATCTCTTTCTATCTCATATATGTATGTATCTCTCTCTCTCTCTCTCTCTCTCTCTCTCTCTCTCTCTCTCTCTCTCTCTTTTGATCGATCGTTTATTGTAAAATGCAACGGCCACTCCTCCGATTTCTTCGCGAACACTCGAGATTCTCATGACGCACGCTCTTCACGCTATAATCTTCGATCGTAACCGCACGAGGGCAAAGTTTCTTGAACAAGTGTACACGCGCTGCAACGAACACGATCGCTCGAGCCGTCTCGGTGGCGTTCTCTATCATCGCGAAACTGTTTCGACGCTCGTCATAGAGAACGATAAGAGAACGAAGAAAGAAATTCGATTTTCGGGGTATATAACGCTGGAACTACCGTGAGCCCCAAACGTGACCAATGCATATTGTTTTATAACAATGACAAGATCGGATTTATTTATACTTCCCGCAATTTTTGTTATAAGTACAATCAGACCTTGATGATTTCGATTGATAGTTATATTCCGTTTTTGTTGCTATCTTTGGAGTACAGGTAATTTAGTACAGATTTTATTTGTGTAACAAAGTTGCATAAGTGGAAAGTCGAAAAGCAAGGATTAAATGAACAAATGTATAAGTTCGTGTAAAAATTTCTGACGAAAACATTTTTAAAATATCAGGGATTGTAAAAGAAAAAAAGTGAGGAAGCAGTCATTTTCACTGGTTTGGTAGATCTAGCGTTAACGAAGGACTCTGTGTGTGTTTCGCTTCGAGCAACGCGGAGTCGAATGGTAAACGATTCCTGAAGAATTCTATGGACGATCGAACCGACTTCGCTGTCGTTTCAATTAGAAACGACTTGAACGCTGATGGAGAACGCCGGCCGCGCAGTGCATAGCTCGGCGACAGCCGGAAAAAGTCGGAAGCCGATGGGCCTTCTGTCCAAACGTAGGACTCGCGACGGAAGAGGATAGACGAATAAAATCGATAAAAAAAACACGTATTCGCTGTACAAAGGAACGCATGATGTCAGCTTTTGGTGTGCCGTCAGTTCACTCTGTTCCCGTTTCTCGATGTAATAATTGTAACGCGCACCCGCTAGCCGAATAGCGTCGACGATTCCTCTCTGTTCTGTCGATTCGCGCGGCGCCTCGCGAGAGCGGAACGGGACGCGAAATTTTCCGATGATTGCGGCGAGAAGAAAATCACGGTGCTCTCTTCTCTGTAATTGGAAGTCGAACGGGTCTCGAGGCGATTCCCTCCCGATCCCGGCGACCCAGCCGTGGAAAAGGGACTCCGGGGTAGGAAAGGGAAAAGCCGCGGTCGCACAGTTTCCCGAAGTTTTTCCCGTCGCGGCGCTGAAACGCCACTTGCCCGGCTGTTTGTCCGCGAGAAACAAACCGAGAACTTTCGTTTCCCACGGCCGGGAAGTCTCCGGAATCGGGCCCGGACCAACCACCCGGTGGGAATTCAACGGAGACCCGATTGATCGTTCGATTCGAGCCGCGTTCATCGTCTCCCGGCGCGGCGTCGCGCGAAAACTAGATTAAAAACGAATATGTGTAAAACCGTGAAACATAGGAACTCTCGTGTCTCAACGTGCATGCTAGCCGTTTCTCTCTTTGTCTGTCGATGTCGTTGGTTCGAACTTCTCTATGGCTTTTCCACGACCGACGGTCCTCGTCGATCCGCGAAAACACGTTCGCGCTGGTCCCGTGCGATTCTCGAGACAGAGAGGTCTTCAAGCGAGTTTCTCTATTGGAACAATCGCGACGAACGGAATTCTTTGCCGTTCGCAATCGAAACGATAATAGATCCCGACAAAGAAACGACTCCAGACGATTCGAATACATGAAACTCCGACAAATTTTAACTTCCATACGATTCAATCGCGTTACATCGTTTCGCGGATCGCAGAATTTTTGAAAACGGGATTACAATGGACAAAATACGATCGAGTCTGTTTCACGATTCGAGCGAAACAAGCTTTCGAAGAATTGTAACTCGCTCGGAGATCGGCAGCGTTCGAGAGACAGCGTGAACGAGAAAAATTGTTGCGAACGATCTTCGAGGACCGTGTCTAGCATTCTTTCTAAGCATAGTTATTGGTCCCGGTTTTTCCTCGGCCACGCCCACGCACCCTCCCCCCCTCCCGTCCAGCGAATCACCAACCAGTCGAAACCACGGAAACCGTCTTCGCAGTATCTGATTCTCCCGTAAAACTTTACTCGATACACACTTCAAGTCAATTACTCAATAATTAATCCAAAGAAACTATAAAGCTATATTATGTATATGAACTGTTAGAAAGGAAGGATGCGTCTGATAATGATGAGGATGATGAGGATGATGATGATGATAATGATGATGATGATGATAATGATGTATACCGGCTGGTAACACGACACGTTTTGCCTGCGAATGTTTGCGAGAATAGATAAAATGTAATCGTGTCACACACGCGAGAAGCGCATCTCCCGGTGTTATAGGAGAGAGAGCTCGCGAGTTTCGCGATCGAGGCACGCTTTAAAGGGGATTTGTGAAAGTTCAAACGCTCGAACAGGAACGTCTTTGCTCGACGGGGACCGAGAGTCGTGTCTCATTAT